CTGGTACTGCTTGGCCACTGCTTTTCAACTTATTTACAGGCTGACAATTTTAAATGAGGTTTCCAAGGTTTTAAGAAAAAGTATAAATAAATTCAAAGTTAGCATGCAGCAAGCAATTGATTTTTAGGCCATGGTTATGGCTAATATATATTCTTGCTTACAAAAGCTTAACAATAGCTTTCTTTATTCTTTCACTGTACAGCATCTAATAAACCTGAAAAACACTGTACAAAATTGAATAGACTTTGACTTGAATATACTGTGCCACCAACATTATATCTATATCTAAATCTATATAGATAGATAGGTAGATAGATAGATATGTTGCCACGAGATTTACTGGGGTTTTAATACACAACAGTAAATTCTTGTAAGAATAATAAGATTATACACTGAATCAAGTATTACCCTTCAAATGGCTGATATAGAAATTAAAAAATTATAAACAAAAGCAGCCACTTGGTCAATTAGAGCCCAGGATTTGCTACTATGAGCTAATGCACCTCTTCCTGTTGAGAATGTCTTGTCAACCAGATTGCCTCGAGATATTAGAAGGCATAAATTATGTCTCGGTGGTATATTTTCTTTTATGATAAATGAAAATTTTAAATAACACTTGAAGATAAAGGTCTTTAGAGATACATCTTTCTTGTTAAAATTGTTACCAAGTTCACCTTGAAACCCCCCACAAGTAAATTTAGTACTTTGAAGTGTATGTCATAGGATATATTTAGTCTACAAAAAAATGTCTAGTTAGTATTTGTACAAAGCTGAAATTTGTTTCCTTATATAGAGAAGTAAAATAAAACTAGCAAGTTGTTAAATACTTTTGTTTAATGGTTCATTCTGGTTTTGGAACAGATCACTTATAGGAACACACATATAGAATGGCAACATCTAGAAATATATAAAAGAAACAATAAGTGTATCTCAAAAATCAATACAATAAATATATACTTAGAAGAGTTGGCAGTAACACTTAGAGCAGTATTTGACTAAGGGCTGTAGAGGACATAGCCAAAATTACATTCAAATTACTTCATTGGCCAGAGATTACACATAAAGTTGGGGGACAGTTCCCCCCATTCTTTCTCAAAATAACAATGTGTTCTCCCTAGATGTTCAGGGTCTAGACTAGATTATCCTTGAAGCTGCATTCTGTTTATCACTCTGTACATAAACAGCTATGCTAAGTCTTTTAAAGTACATGTTAAATCATAAACTCAAATTGCAAAGACAAAAGAAAGAGTGCTGATTTTTAAAAAAACACAACTAATATTCCCTTTCAAGAATGCTTAAACTATGAATGATATCAAAATCTCCCTTAAGCTTCGTCACTACTCTGAATGGTCCTTTCTGGGGTGTGGGTCCTCTAACATGGAAACCCATTTCTCATCTCAGCTCACCTCTACTTTCCCTGCCCAAGTAAGCTATAAATAATACACAAAGTTCCATAATTTACAGCAATACATTTTGAGACATATGAATAATCGCAGCATTTATCAATTTATTGAAGACATGGTCTTGTTTTGTTTGCCATTGAATATGATCACAAATGTTTTGCCCTCAGTGAAAAATAGCCAAAGCACCCATAAAGCCCATTGTCTCTAAATGCCATGGATGTTACCAGTGCTTTAGTTAATGAGGCCATTTGTACCATATGCTAAAGTAATCTCCCTTGTGCAGAACTCTATTAAATGAACACATAGAATATCAAAAACTTTGCATTCTATATGTAAGAACAGTGGATTCATTGATTCAAAGTCAATGATAACATCATTAATTGTAAAGATTTAGTAGACTCTAATCTGTCTGCCAATTCCACTAAATGTGCTTGTCTCTATATTTGCTTTCTTTACAATAGAATATTATGCTATGTTTTCATCAAAGATAGATTACACTGGCTCTATTCTTAATTTCTAAAAGGAGCTTGGCATTGAAAGGCATTTCAGATATATTAAATTAAATGGCATATGATGGCAGTGTAATACAAAGGAAAATTCAGAATATTAAAAACTAAAATAACACAGCCATGTTTATTTTCAGGAAAATGTTTAAGAATAATAACACTGCTCTTAGTTTATTTTGATTTAAAATACTTCATTCAGAAAATTTACTTTATTGCATTTAAGTAAGGATTTTTCATTAATATTTGATATTTTAAATACAAATGTTAATCTATAATAATTAGAAAGAAATTAATCCTAAATCAGAGCCAGCAAAACGTAACAACTGGTAAAGGAAATTACTGGAGCAACAACTTAACAACCTGAATTCTGGCCAGGAAAGCCATATACAGATGAAAGAAAATTGGCTACACTATGTTGTCCTCTGACCTCCATCTATGTCCCATGAGTGCTGTCTCACTCATACACAAGAATAATTAAGTAATTAGTAAAAATTAATCTTAAGTCAGAGAGGAGTATATCAAAGTTATTTATGCTTGAAAAATGACAGAGAAATATTGAAAATACAGATTCACTAAATTACCTTAGTGTTTATCTAAACAAAGAAGTCACATATACAGTTGATTATATTGTTAAGTTTCATGACTTAGTGATGCCAGAATTTACATTTATTTTACATGTGATAAGAGGGTCTGGATAAGTGACTCTTATAGGGTAAGAGTGCTTGCTGCTCTTGCAGAACACCTAGTTCAGTTCTCAATATGCTGATGGTGGCACACAGCTGTTGGTAATCCCAGACTCATGGGATCCAACACACTTTTGTGGCCTCCACAGGCACCAGGAATACATGTGATATGTATATATACTCACAGAAAAACATGCACACATTAAATTAAAATAAAAAGTGAAAATAAAAATAAATCTCTTTAAATGAGAATTTGAATTATATATTTCTTTCCCTCTAACCCACTTAGAGCAAGTACAAACACTGAGGTACAATATAAACAAGAAAAAGAGGATTTGTCTAGTGTGAGAACCTAAGTTCAATCCCTGAGGCCAAAAAATCAAGCAAAACCCCTCAAGTCATGCATTTAAATATTATCAAAACATAAGTATGGAAAAATTTATTGCCATAAATTAGCACAAAAATAGAAGTGCTATAGCTGTTCTAAATATTTAACAATTTCTAATTATATGCATCTTTGTCCTCATAATTATCAGTTTAACTTTATAGATTAAGAAGCATAGATATTAATGTTCAACGTATGTGCTAACAATGATTTATTCTTAAACAATTATGTTTTCTCTAGCAAGGTTAAATAAGTTGTGTTATTCATTCACAAAATGAAATTCATTGCAAAATAACAAACTTGACAATGTTTTATTTGAAAAACAGAAACTCACGTTTTCTTTAGATAAATATGTTTTTGTAAATATTTAAGCTACTACAAATAGAAGAAGGGGTTGGTTGTGGCATTTCATACATTTGCATAATGATACTTTATTCTTGTTTGTTCTCATTGCCAATGCCTTCCTTTGCACCCTTTGTCCACTGAGTGTTCAATTTTGTTTTGCGTTTTTCTTGTTTCATGTAACATATTACTCTTATCAAAAAAACAAGACTTGGAATATTTTCATGTTTTGTTTATTAATTTGAAACCATGTTATAACTATTTACTGTTACATCATTTGTAAAACATAATTTGGAATAAAAAGATGATATCAATGTAATCCACTTATAGATTGCATTTTAGGAAAATTGTTTTATAAAACTAACTCAGAAAGCATTTTCTCATTAATTAACTAATTTATCCTTGCCTTTGTCTAAATTAAGTCAAGTAATTTCACCTCTAGTTACATTCAAAATATACATATATATATATATATATATATATATATATATATATATTTATCACATATCTTAGTGATTAAGAAAAAATCAATTTATGTTCATAAAAAATAGGGAAAATAAATAATAACCAGTAAAATGTGTTGAAACTGAAATCTGATACAGCGGAGAAATCAAAAAAATCAAAAGCTGATTATGTGAACTGGTTATAAAAATTTATTAACCTCTAGACTAATCAAGAGAGTGAAACAACTCATATTGCCTATAAAACAATAAAAACAGGACATTTTTAGCTAGATTGGTGGAAAGAATAACAAAAACCTATGATGAACTGAAGGTTCACAAATGCCTTAATTTGGTGAAACTGGGCAAATTTCTTGAGGGTTACAAGCTATCAAAGTTCATGAAGCAAACTGGTAATATGAATGTCTAATAAGTATTAAAATTTGGAATAAATTAATTACAAATGAAGAATGAAACCTTGATGACTCCACCAATGAATTTTTAAGAAATATCAAACAAGTAAATAATATGTACTACCCGAATGTCCTCAGACACTGAAAGTAGAATGAATATCTTAGTTCTTCCATGAGATTGCTATTCTCCTAATACTAAGAAGAAATAAAGTAACTAAAATACAATTTTTCAAAATACCCATAAATTGAATCCAATAATATATAAGAAAATCATACAGCCTGACCTGTAGCCATTCATTACAATACTCAACCTTGTATTAATAATAATAATAATAATAATAATAATAATAATAATAATAATGTGATGTAAGAAATATCAAACTACTGAGGATGATGTCATAGGATCTTACTGATAACCACAAATGGAATATATCTGATAAAAACCTACACCCATTATTGATGAGAAAGCTATCAGAAACCTTGAGGAGGGGACTCTTCAATGTTGTAAGTTTTCTGCAAAACAACAAATAGAATTACTGGGCATTTCCCCACCTACACACACACACACACACACACACACACACACACACACACACACACACACACACACACACAGCAAGGCAATGTCCTCATTTTATGCCATCCATAAACAAAATCCAAATGGGAAACCTAGCTTGTGTGATAAGAAGAACAGAAAAAGACATTTTATTGATTGTGAAAAAATAAATAAAACTTTACACTTATATAGATTTGTAACAAAATCATGTGGTCTGCTGACACAGATATTAAATGCAAGTAACGGTGTTTTTATATTTGTGTCTCTGTCAGGTTAAAGCAATGAAGATCAATTGTGAGAGTGAAAGCTGCAAAATAATGGAAACAACATTTTAAATTTAATCTCTAATATTATTTCTATTTAATATAGTACTTGAAGTTTTAGGTAGAGCAACAAGACAACTAAAGGAGTTCAAGGGGATGAAATTAGAAAGGAATAAGTCAAAGTATTGATATTTGCAGATGATATGATAGTATATATAAACAACCCCAAAAATTCTACCAGAAAACTTCTACAGTTGATAAACCCCTTCAGCAAAGTGACTGGATACAAAAAAAACTAAAAAAAAAAAAAAAAATCAATAGCCCTCCTATATACAAGTGATAAATGGTCGAAGAAAGAATTTGGGAAACAATACCCTTCACAATAGCCAAAAATAGTTTAAAGCATCTTGGAGTAACTAACCAAGCAATTGAAAGACCTGTGTGGTGAGAAATCATGTCGTTGAAGAATAAAATTGAAGAAGATATCATAAAATGGAAAGATAGCTCATGCGTTGATAGGATTAACACAGTAAAATGGCAATCTTACCAAAAGCAATGTACAGATTCAATGCAATTCCCAACAAAACCCCAACACAATTCTTTATGGAACTTGAAAGAACAATTTTCAACTTCATAATGGGAAGCAATAACCCAGGACAACTAAAACAATCCTGTCCAATTAAAAAAAAATTTTCTAGAGGTATCACCATCACTTATCTCAAGCTCTACTACAGAGTTATAGCAATTAAAAGAGCATGATATTAGCATAAAAGCAGTTGATCAATGAAACTGGATAGAAGTTTCAGATTAATACACATACCTAAGGACATTCAATTTTGGATAAAGAAGCCAGAAATATACAAATGGAAAAAAGAAAGCATCTTCAACAAATGGTGGTGGTCTAACTGGATGTCAGTGTGTAGAACACAAATAGATTCATATGTATCACCCTTGAAAAAAACTGAAGTCCAAATGGATTAAAGATCTTAATATAAAACTAGATACACCAAACCTGACAAAAGATAAAGTGGGGAATAGCCTTGAATGAATTGACACAGGAGACAACTTCCCAATCAGAACACTAATCTTCTCATCTTGTAGGCACTTAAACCAACAATTAATAAATGGGACATCAAGAAACTGAAAAGCTTCTGTAAGACAAAGGACACTGTTAATAGGACAAAAAGCAGCCTACAGAATGGGAAAAGATCTTCCCCAATCCCAAATCTGACACAGTACTAATTTCCAAAATATATAAAGAACTCAAAATCTGGTGATCAACAAACCAAATAACCCAATTTATACATGGGGTACAGATATAAACAAAGTATTAATGACAGAGGAATCTCAAATGGCTGAGAGTCACATGAAAAAATATTCAACATCCTCAGTCACCAGGGAAATGCAAATCAAAATAATACTGAAATTCCATTTTATGCCTGACAGAATGGCTAAAATAAAAACACAAGTGATAGCTCATGACAGAGAGGATGTCCAGCAAGGGGAACACTCCTCCACTGCTGCTGGGAATGCAAACATACATGTACAGCCACTTTGGAAATCAACATAGTGTTTTCTCAGAAAATTAGGTATCAACCTACCTCAAGGCCCAGCAACAACTTTCCTGGGCATATACCCGAAGGACATTCTACAATACCATAAGGACACCTGCTCAAATGTGTTCATATCATAATTTGATATCATAATATTATTCATAATATCAAAAAACTGAATCAATCTAGATGTCCTTCAACTGCAGAATAGATAAAGAGATGAGATTGGGTATGTTCAGGGTAGTATGCCTGTAGACTCATTTTTAACAGATGTGTAATACTCCATTGTATTTGTAGAACATAAATAGATTCATATCTATCACTCTGGAAAGAAACTCAAGTCCAAATGGATAAGAGATCTTGATTTAAAACTAGATGCAGTGAGCCTGATAGAAGACAAAGTGGGTTAGTGGGGGTTGGGAGAGGAGGAGAGAGAGAGGAGCTGGGATTGACATGTGACACAAGATTGTCTCTAATTTAAATAAAAAAATAATTAGAAAAAAGAATAGATAAAGAAAATGTTGTACATTTACACAATGTAGAGCTACACAGCTGTTAAAACAATGGCATCATAAAATTTGCTGACAAATGAATGAAACTAGAAATGACCTTCCTGAGTGAGGTAACCCAGGCCCAGAAAGACAAATACTCACTTATAAGTGGATATTAGCTGTAAAGTAAAGAATACCCATGCTACAACCTACAGACTCAAAGAAGCTAAGTAACATGGAGGATGAAGGGAAGACACATGAATCTCAGTGTGAAAAAGGAAATAGAATAGACATCACATGTTGATTGGGGAGGGGTATGGATGGGAGCCTTGGGCATGGAAACAGGAGGGATCAGGTTGGGGGAGAATGATAGAAGAGGCTACAGGGAAAGATAACTAGAATCAGGGGTGTCTCTGAAATGAATTAGAAACCTAGTACAGTGGAAATTCCCAGGAATGTATGAGGGTGACCCAAAGACTCCTAACAATGGAGTATATATACCATGAACCATCCATCTTCTGTAACCAGGCAAGACTTCCAGAGGGAGAGATTGGGACCCCAAACCAGCCACATAACCTTTGAAATATAATTTTGTCGTGCCTACAAAACATACTGGGGTAAAGGTGGCACTGAAATTATGACTGGTCCAGCTTGTGATCCAGGCCATATGGGAGCCCACCCTTGACACTGAAAGCCCAGAGACTTAGGATAGAACCAAACACACCAGCAAAATAAATTCAATGAAATATGAAATGATATTCTGCTATACCTGTAGATTGGTGCCTAACCCAGTTGCCATTAGAGAGGTTTCACCCAGCAACTGATGGAAACAGATGCATAGACCCACAGCCAAACCATATTTTGATGTGGGGAATATTGTAGAAGAGGGTTGGGAGAGCCATAGGGGCCAAGGACACCACTAGACATCACTAAATCAACTAACCTGGGCTCATTGGAACTCACAGAGACTGAATCAACTATCAAGGAGCCTTCATGGGACATTTGGAGGCCCTCTGCACATACATTACTGTTGTGTGGCTTGGTTTACCTGTTGAACTCCTATTAGTGGCAGCAGAGGCTGTCTCTGACTCTGTTACCCAATCTCAGTAGAAGAGGGGGTGCCAAGTCTTACTGCTACTGGATTGGGGATATACATAGGAGGCCTTCCCTTTTCTGAAGTGAAAGAAGGAGAGGATTGTGGGGAGGAAGAAGTAAGGTTGGGGAGAGGGAATAGATGAAGAAAAGGGAGGGGAAACTGCAATCAGACTGGAAAACTGAATTAATGAATTAATAAAAAAATAAATTTAAAAGAAGGAGAAAGTAATGTCATTTTTTAATTTGTGTTTTTGTCTACTTGAGGCTATGAAGATCAATTTTGAGAGGCAAAGCTGCACAATAATTGAACTAACATGTTTTTAATTCACACTGCATCTTCCCTAGAGTAGTAACTCTAACTCAATGGTTTCTTAGCCTGCCTAATGCTTTGACACTTTAGTATAATTTTGTATGCTGTGTGTGGTGACCCTAACCATAAAACTATTTCATTGCTACTTCACAACTGTAATTTTATATGAATTATAAAATATATAAATATATTATATGAATTATATGAATTATAAAATATAAATATATTACTCAGAGAGGTTTGGGACCAGCAAGATAGGAATCCTGCTCTGACTACTCTGATAAGAAGACAGAGACCTTGAAGATCTATCTAAAGAAACACTAAACATGGTTACGGTCTTAAAAGCACTCTTCTTATGTGATCACCTTATCTGTGAAGTTGATTTACTAACAATGCTTTTGTGAGGATATGTCCAAATAATTAATGAAGAAGAAGCTCGATAAGGAAACATGATGAGAATAAAGGGATGAATGTGATAGTTTGTTCAGTAAAATAAGATAAAGAATTCTTTGCTACATTTTACTTATTTAGTGTATGAGGCAAGGAAGATGTTTTACAAAGGTCTCCATGTGAAACTCATAGGATAATTTTCAGGAGTTGTTTATCTTCTTCCACTACAGGAGTTCTAGAGATGGGAGTTTGTTGATTAGGAGCTGAGTCATCCTACCAGCCCTTGAGTTGTTCTTGATATTTGATACCAATACTATGTAAAATGAAGCAGTTTCTAAAAAGAAATTCTTAAAGCTATCTCATGTTTTCTTATCATATGAAAAAAGAATAGGAAATGGTTTTTGACCTGTTCCCAGAGTTGGGAACCAGTCACAACCTTTAGGTGAACTTAAGAAGAATGATAAAATGTTCTGGAAAGATCGCCTAAGTGCTGTATTCTTGGAGAAAGTGAGAGGACAGGTAAGATCAGGAGGATCAGGTAAGATAGAATTTATTTCAGTTTATTTATTTACTTATTTATTTAATTTTGGGGATAATGGAACAACAGGTTCGCTACTAATTCAATTATGTTTTATGAATGGTGGTGGGAATTGAAAATCCAAATGATCCACATCTCATTACCCCTACAGGCTGATCTGATGTGGAATCATGGGAACTGAATCAGATTTTAGAGTTGTGAAGCCAAATTGTGCTTTTAGCATTTCACAGATGAAAGCTTGGATCATAAATTCCCTTTGTTGCTTTCGATCCCCTCTAGTGACTCTCCTCACTGATTATAAATCAGAAAGTGTTACATACATCAGCTGAGCCATGTTGTAAACAGTCTTCAAAACTAGCCTTTTCTAAGGCTCTAAGCTATTTAAAACTCTCTTCAGAAACAAAGGACTAACCTAAATATTCAGATTGTGAAATCTGCCCCCACATCTTTTCTCCAAATTCTGATACCTAATTATCATCAGTAAAGCAAAGCTAATCTCAAAACCCTTTTAGGAATACATTACATGCTGTTTAAAAGCAAGCCTTATTGAAATACACTTTGATATATCAACAACTGTACATGTTTATTGTGTGTAATTTGAAGATTTTAGTATATGCAAACATCCATGATACTATCAACATAGTTCAGGAAGTTGAAATACCATCTCCCAAAATTTCTTCATTTCCTTTGTTTGCGTTCAGTGACAAGAATACTTAGAAGGAAATGTATTGTTAACTAGTTTTAAGTGACAAACTCTCAGTCATTCTAGATGACTATATTCTAAAGGTCTATGAGAGAGATACAAACAACGTATTGTCCTTAATGCATGAATAAATACATAGACATTTTAGCATGCAGTATTATTGTCTAAATCTTAACAATTAGTACACAATGTTGCATTTAGGTATTGGAATCGCTTTAAAGCCAAACCTAGTTTCTTCATGTAAAACATTTCATGGCAAATTTTTGAGATTTCCCCTAAGAACCACATTTTTTCTTTTATTTTTCTCTAAAATATTACAGTCTTCTGTCTCCACTCTACCCAGCTTCACCCTATTGTGGGAAATTACCAATACTGAGTCAGGTAGAAATATAAGGGTATTTAATGGGGAAAAGCCTTACTTACAGAGCAACCTAGCCAGCTGGTGTGGTAGAGGTCTGTATAGCAAGCAGCAAAGAGAAACCGAAACCGAAAATGCAGTCCCACTACGTCATTTGTAGCCACGCCTTCTTAGGGGCTGGCTACATCACCCTACC